ATTATTGAACTAGTAAGTAAAACGAAGAGCTGGTTTTATGAAAAATCAATAAAATAGATAAACTGTTGGTTAATTGGATTGAAAACAAGGAAAAAGTAAACCAAATTACCAACATCAAAATGAAAAGAGTTGATTCACCACTGATGAAGAGGAAATTAAAACAATAATTAGGACCTAATTTTCCCAAGTATATGCCAATAAATTTGACAATCTTAGTGAAATGGATGAATATTTACAAAAATATAAATGGCTCTGATTTACAGAAGAGGAAATAAAATTCTTAAATAACTTCATTTTAGAAAAAGAAATTGAACAAGCCATCAACAAACTCCCTAAGAAAAAATTTCCAGGGCCAGATGGGCTTACAAGTAAATTCTACCAAACATTTAAAGAAAAGTTAATACTGCATAAACTATTTGTAAAACTAGGCAAGGAAGGAGTCCTACCAAATTGCTTTTAATGACACAAATATGATGCTGACACCTGAATCAGGAAGAGCCGAAACAGAGAAAGAAAATTATCGGTCAATTTCCCTAATGAATATTTATGCAAAAATTTTAAATAAAAGATTAAAAAAGAGATTGCAGCAACTTTCCATGAGGATAATACATTATGACCAAGTGTGATTTATGCTGGGAATGCAGGACCAGTTCAGTTTGAGGAAAACTATCAGTGTGACTATATGAATAACAAAATTAGCAGAAATCCTCTGATTACCTCAGTAGATGGAGAAGAATTCTTTTAACAAAATACAGCACCCATTCCTATTTAAAACACTAGAAGGCACAGGAATAAGTGGAGCTGTCCTTAAAATGATAAGCAGCATGTATCTAAAATCATCAGCAATATTTTATGTAATGGGGATGAGCTAGTTGCAAGGCTGTCTTGCACTCAGCCTGATGCTCTCAGGCTCTCAGTCCAGCTAGGTCAGTACAAGGTCATGGACCTGGGTACACCTTCTGCAGCATAGAGGACAAGGACAGATGGAAGCCCTGCCTAGAAGTGTATGCTCAACTCTGTTAATTCCCTTGGCACTAGGGAATTGGGGAAAACTGCAGTTGCTTTTTGGTTCCCTGAGGCTTACTTCCTTCCCTCTGTACCTCTGAATCCTCTTTCATGGAAGTTACAGGGGAAGTTAGAACAGCTAAAAATACCTTGGCAGATTCTGGAGAGTTTGATCATTAAGGAGTTTTGAAGCACCTGTACAGCCTGGTCACTCCCTTCCCTTGAGTCAAGAGGGTATTTGTTAACCCCTCTCATAGGAGAAGACAGTTTCACCCTTTACCCCTCACCTTTGACTTCACCCTCCCCCACCTGGGAAAGGAAGGAGGCGGGAGGGGCAGCAACTACACAGTGGGCCCCCCCTGGCAATGGCCTTGGGCCCTAGGGCAGCCTTTGCCTGGAAGCATCACCCAGGTTCAGCACATCCTGCTCAAGGTAATGAAGCTAGCCTCCAAACTTGGGTAAGCATGCTCTTTTAAATTTTGACACATAGGTTGTTTTTCTTTTTCTCTGATTTTTTGGGGTTAAGACTGAGAAAGGAATTGATGTTGAAAGGCTGTGAACAGTTTAGTGACATTGAGACAGTTCCAAATGAATTTCCAGAATGACTTCACTAATATCATATTAATGTGCCAGTTTTTCTGCAGCTCCCCCAATATTTACCATTTCCCTGTCAGGAAGACTTGGTTTCATTTACTGGCTGTGTAAACTTAGAAAAGTCATCTACTGTCTTAGTGTCCCCAGAAAACTCTCTAGCATAATGTTTCAGAGAAAGTGCCAACAAGGATTAATAGAAGAGATAGACCAACAGGAACTTGTGCTTAATGGAATCACACATTTAATTTTTAAGAATGACATAGCACAAAATTGTCATTATCATAAGAGGGGTTTTTGGTAGGAGAAGCTTTAATATGGAGTTAGAGGATCTAGTTTCAAATCCTGCTCTACCACTTCCAGGTTGTGTATATTTTTCTAATCCACTGAACTACTCAGGGCCTGAATTTTTGCTTTTGAAACATGAGGTGAGTAATGTTTGCACTACTCACCTCACAGGATCACAGCTTCAGCTGCCATTCACTGAGTTGATGGCCTTTTGTAAATCCCTTCAGATTTCTGTACCCAAATTTCCTAATCCTTAAACTTGGTGGGGATTTTTTGGTAGGGGTGTTGGGGAGAATCACAGAATCAGAAGAGTTCCCTGTTTGAGAACTAGGTCTTCTAGTCCCACACTCTCAGTAATCAGGGAAGAAAACTGAGGTCTAGGGACCAAGGTCAGAATGATAATGGGGGTAGAGCCATGATGCTATTTCTGCTATTATTCTCTAGTGACTTAACCACCCTTTCGCTCAGTTTCCACAGCTGAAAAATAGAGATAATAATAACAACTATGTTCTTGGGTTGTTGTGAGGATTAAATGACATAATACTTATAAAGCTTTTTAGCACAGTGCGTGGGATATAGAAATGTCATATAAATATTATTAATGTTATATTACATTTATTATATACATCAGGGGTTCAGTAATTGTATCAATGAAGAAACTCCATGTTACAGTAGAAAAGGTAAGCCAGTTATGCCTTTGCAGGAAAGGTAGCTCCAAAAATCATCCACAGAGGCAGGATGCAGGTGCGGCTGGTAAATGTTTAAGAGCCAGCTTCCCAGGAATGTATATATATATATATATATATCTACATATACACACACATACATACATATACACATATACATGCATATATGCATATATATCTATATACATACACATATATACATGTATATATGCACACACATATGTATATACATACACATGTATACATGTATATATGCACATATATATCTATGTACATACACATATATACATGTATATATGCACACACATATGTATATACATACACATGTATACATGTATATATGCACATATATATATATACATACACATATATACATGTATATATGCACACACATATGTATATACATACACATGTATACATGTATATATGCACATATATATCTATGTACATACACATATATACATGTATATATGCACATATATATATATCTATATACATACACATATATACATGTATATATGCACACACATATGTATATACATACACATGTATACATGTATATATGCACATATATATATATACATACACATATATACATGTATATATGCACACACATATGTATATACATACACATGTATACATGTATATATGCACATATATATCTATATACATACACATATATACATGTATATATGCACACACATATGTATATACATACACATGTATACATGTATATATGCACATATATATCTATGTACATACACATATATACATGTATATATGCACATATATATCTATGTACATACACATATATACATGTATATATGCACATATATATATATCTATATACATACACATATATACATGTATATATGCACACACATATGTATATACATACACATGTATACATGTATATATGCACATATATATCTATATACATACACATGTATACATGTATATATGCATATATATGTATTACTGTCACGCTTTTAAGTTGAATCTGCACCATTAACATTTTCTTCATTGCTTCTTTTATGCCTAGAAATAAAACAATGAATCAAGCCCTGATTTGTGGCATTTGTCAGATAGCCAAGGTGTAAATGGTCACACTTAGCATTTAACAACCAGCTCTCTTGAGGTGGACTGAGCTGGCTCTAGCACACACTTGGGCAAGAACCTCATTCCTTTATCTTCTTTCTGAAACTCTCAGAATCTCCTTTGTTCCAACAGAGCAAGAAGCTTTGATGGAATAGCTCCTTTAGACAAATTTTGCAGGCAGTGGATGTTCTGTGAATGGAAGAAATGATAATACATGAATAGTGACCAGCTGAGACCTTACCCAGGTGTGTCTAATTGTTTTTGAAGCGCTCTCCATGTGCTGATCATTGATGGCGCATTAGATCACCTTTGAAATTTTAAAGGTCTGTGGGTAAGTCCAAACATGGGGCAAGGCATACATTCTAATGACATGCTCACAGCCTTACACCTGACATGAAAACAATGGTCAGTATGAACAGAAAAATGTGTTTCATATCAATCCAAAGGGAAAGACCAGAAAGAACAAATGTATCCATGGCCACAGTCTCAATCTGAGATCTGTGGTTGTTTTCCAAACTAGAATTGGGCAAGTAATCCATAGAGGTCTGTGAGAGAGATGGGCTCATGCTGTGCTTGAGGTATCATTAGTAGTTGAATGCATATGCCAAGGATGGTGAGAGGGTGAGTATCATCAAGGATTGGTACTAGAAAAAGCACTAACCTGAAAGATCAGGGTCAGGCAGACTAAAGCTCAGAAGATTTTCAAGGATGCAAAAATGTTGGGGACACCAAAAGTCCAAGCAAGAAGAAGAAAGGGATAGATAGTGAGGAGGGCCTGTAAGGCTAGCAGGCCAGTACTCAAAGAGGACAGAAAGAAGGCAGAGCATATCAATGTTTATTTTACTGCCATTTTCTCACTCAAGAAGAATGTTCTTCAAGGTGGAAAACAACATGCATGGTTGAAAAATCAATTAAGCCCAATGTAGCTTAGGTGATAAGAAGACAGCAACTAAACTCTTTAATGTGAGGTCAAGTCTACAGGATCTGACAATTGGATATCTATCACCACTTCTTCTCAGGCTGTATTTGGATATTTGCTCTCTCCTTAGCTCAACAGACACCCATAGGCCAATAGAAATTTCATTATTGACAGTCTGTGACCTCAACAAGATGACCTGGACAAAATCTTTGCCTTCCCCCACTTTCCCTATGCAATTTAGGAGCAGGTTGGAATCAGGAGCAAATTCCAAAGTAACAAATCTGTAGACATTTACTTACTTGCTTGCTAAACTAATCATAGTTAATGGACAACTAATCCTGGTTGCCTACAAGGACTATCTGTTTATTTGCTGGGCTTTCCCACCCCTTGTTTTCTACCAATGATTATAAAAGCCTGCCATCAGAGCTGGTGCCTCTGAGAGCTGTAGGACTGTCACTCAGGGCAATGGATCCTTGGGGACTCACCACGACTGCCCTCCTGGCTTGTGTTCTTTTGCTGACTTTTCTGTATCTATGGAGCCAAGGATTCAAAAGGGGGAAACTCCCACCAGGTCCCACTCCTCTTCCCTTTATTGGCAACATCCTGCAATTAGATTTTAAGAACATCACTGCATCATTCTCACAGGTAAAGGGACTGGATTTGGGGTTTGGATCCTAGATGCTTGAGTTATAGGGGGAGGCACGAAGGCTTCAAATGAAGAAGTGAATAAGAACTCATGGTGATTTAGAGTCCTAGGTCATGGTTCGTGTGAGTCAAGGGCCTTGTGAGTAATATTTCCATAAGCAATGATGTCAGCCATGCATTGATTGTTTTGTCAAAACTTTGGTAGCAGAAGACATTCAACAACAGGACCAAATCTTTGCCTTTTGTAGTGCATCATACTAGGTTCTGGGGACACAAAGACCAAAAAATCATTCAATCAATGAGAACTTCTTCTGTACCTACTATGTACCAGGTACTTTACCGGACACATTAGAGAACTGTATGATGAATAAAAGTTTCTCCTTGAAAGGAAACAGTTCCTGTCCTCCAGAAGTTTATGTTCTACTGGAGAGGTAACAACAAATTCATAGATAAGTAAGTAGAAAAAAAATAGAGGATGGAGAAAGCATTAGTAATTGGAGGACCTGAAAAAATTTCAAGTAGGAGAGAACACCTGAGCTGGACCTTGAAGAGATTAACAAATTCTGATTGGAAGAAATGGAGGGAATGAATTCCAGGCATGTGAGACAGTCTTGGCAAAAGCAAAAAGTTGGGAGATAATATAGCTAGCAAGATGGTTTGGCCAGAATTTACATTTTGGGATGAGGGGGTAATACAGAATAAATCTGGACAATTAGGTTGGAGACAGCTGTGGAAGCAGCAGGGAATCCCTGCCAACTTTTGAGTAGAGAAATGATGTGGACAGAATTTTGCCACAGGAAAATTTAATTGTTAGTTGTGTGGATTATTCATTGCAAAGGACAAATACTACAAGCAGGTTATTGAACTTGAAGGCCATTGAAAGAATGGATAAAAGTATCATTTATGGGGTGGAGACAAGATGGTAGAGTAAAAGCAGTGACTTGCTTGGGCTCTCCCCTTAACCTCTCCAAATATCTTTAAATAAAATGGCTCTAAACAAATTCTAAAGCAGCAGAACCCACAAAAAGTCAGAGTTAAACAAATTTCCAGCCCAAAACAGCCTGGATAGTTGAGTGGAAATGTATATCGCCCCGAGAAGGAAGCAGAGCACAGTTTGGTGTGGGCATGCAAGCAAACCAGGACTCAGCAAACTTGGAGCAGGCCTCAGAGGAATCAATCATGGGCAGCTGTGGTGGTTTCTAGACTTCTTAATCCATGAAAGCGAAAGACAACTTAGAAGGTCAGTAGGAAAAGTCTGTTTCCAAGACAGAGAAGGTGGTCCCAGCCCCAGTGCCCCAGTGTGGCCTGGGGTGGTGGCTGCTTCCAGAGCTTCTGGCCCACAGACTGAGGGGGAATCGAGTGGCTGATCAGAGGGGTATTGCAGGGATCTCTTTGCTTGTGCAGGATTTTCTTGCTTTGCCCATGCTTGGATGTGGGTCACAGTTCTGGGGCAAGGAGGAGCACTGGCATGGTGTAGCTTGCAGTGGTGGTGCAGAGAAAATCCTCCTCACAGTTCCAAGGCAGAAAAGAATGCTTTTGGTCACTCATAGAACAGAGCACAGGCCAGAAAAAGAGTAAACACCTTGCCCCTAGTCATATCATCTTGGAAGAACTGAAAATTTGCAGTCCCGAAAAGCTTGGGACAGTACATTCTCCACACTGGAAGCAGACTCCAACCTTAACAAAGAATGTATAACTCAAGTAATTGACTGGGATCATGAATAAGCGACATAAAAAGAGTCAGACCATAGAATCTTAATTTTGTGATAAAGAAGATCAAAACATACAACCAGAAGAAGACAACAAATTCAAAGCTCCTGCATCTAAAGCCTCCAAGAAAAATATGAATTGGTCCCAGGCCATGGAAGAGAAGAAAAAGGATTTTGAGAAGCAAGTAAGAGAAGTAGAGGAAAAACTGAGAGTGATGCAAGAAAATCATGAGAAAAAGTCAACAGCTTGCTAAAGAAGACCCAAAAAAATACTGAAGAAAATAACACCTTAAAAAATAGCCTAGGCTCAGATTCTTAAAATCTAGCCAATAGCTTACTAATGTTGAGACTTCTTAAGAGTGCACCCAATATCATGGATGTTCTAATAAACCTTGTCTTTGAGCAAAAGAAGGCTTGGGTTGAATTCTTAGAGGCAGGACCTGTGTGTCATGATTTTGGGATCCCACACCACTAAACCATGTCATCTTGGTGGCCTGTATGGGGAAACTACCTATCCCCAAGTTCTTCTCCAGCCAAAACTGGAAGGAAAAGAATGTTTCACTTTTACCCCTCACCTTTGATTTCACCCTTCCCTACCTGGGAAAGAAAGGAGGGGAGAGGGGCAGCAGCTACGGCCTTGACCCTCCTGGCCATGGCCTTGGCCTCTAGGGAAAGTGTTGCCTGGAAGCGTCACCCAAGTTCAGTACATCCTGCTCAAGGTAATGAAGCTAGCCCCCAAACTTGGACTACAAGCCATTCACCTACAATTGGTAGCAAACAGCAAGGACCAGCCAATGTCCTCCTGTCGTTCCTTGGATGCGGCCTGTGCTCTGTTCCAGTGATCTCCTTTGGGACCTCCTCAAGGCAAGGACAGCTCTACACCCCCTGCCAGCAGGAAGCAGTTTTAGAAGCTAAGACCTTCGCCCCTTACTCCAAAAGAATTTGGATCCTATTTGTTTGAGGGGGGAATGATGAGGATGGAATCTAGACCCCAAAAAAGAAAAACCCTGGGCTTTCCCACATGGCCAAATCTCTGGCATTCACCGGAGGCTATAATCTCATCAGCGGGCATTTCATTGTGGCTACACCCAATCTCCCAATTCTGTTGCCATTAACCTAGCCTACCCTCCCTATGGCTGCTGGCCATTTCCCACACTTAATCTTAGCTAGGCTCATTGTCTAGGTCCCAGGAGTCCTGTTCACCCCACTTACTGGACACTCCCATTCAGATCTTAAAATCTAGCCAATAGCTTACTAATGTTCAGATTCCTTAAGAGTCTGCCTAATATGATGGATGTTGTAATAAACCTTGTCTTTTGCAAAAAAAAAAAAAGCCTAACTCCAATGGCAAAAGAGGTCCAAAAAGCCAATGAGGAGAAGAATGCCTTAAAAAGAAAAATTGGCCAAACGGAAAAGGAAGTCCAAAAGCTCACTGAAGAAAATGCTTCCTTAAAAATTAGAATGGAGCAATTGGAAGTTAGTGACTTTATGAAAACTCAAGACTTTGTAAAATAAATTCAAAAGAATGAAAAAATAGAAAACAATGTGAAATATATCATTGGAAAAACAAGTGACTTGGAAAATAGATTCAGGAGAGAGAATTTAAAAATTATTGGACTATCTGAAAGCCATGAACAAAAGAAGAACTTAGATATCTTTCAAGAAATTATGAAGAAAAACTGCCCTGATATTTTAGAACCAGAGGGCAAAATAGAAATTGAAAGAATTCACCAATCACTTCCTGAAAGAGATCCCCATAGGAAAACTAGGAATACTGTAGCCAAATTCCAGAGTTCCCAGGTCAAGGAGCAAATATTGCAAGCAGCCAGAAAGAAATAATTAAACTATTTGGGAAACACACTCAGGACAACACAAGATTTACCAGCTTCTAAATTAAGGGACTGTAGGGCTTGGAACATAATATTCCAGAGGGCAAAGGAGCTAGGATTACAACCAAGAATTACCTACCCAGGAAAACTGAGCATAATCCTTCAGGGGGGAAAATGGATGTTCAGTGAAATAGAGGACTTTCAAGCATTCTTGATGAACAGACCAGAGCTGAATCGAAAATTTGACCATCAGATACAAGACTCAGGAGAAATGTGAAGAGGCAAACAGGAAAGAGAAATCATAAGAGACTTATTAAGGTTGAACTGTTTACATTCTGCATGAAAATATGATAATTATAACTCACGATTCCTTTGTCAATATTAGAGTAGTTGGAGGAAAAAATTATATATATGCATATAGATATACAGAAAGATAGCTAGCTAGATAGATAGATAGATAGATAGATAGATAGAGGGCTCAGGGTGAGGTAAAGATGAAAAGGTGATAACTGGAGAATAAAATTAAGGGTGAGGAAGGATTATACAGGGAGAAGGAGAAAGGGAGAGGTAGAATGAGTAAATTGTCTCACATAAAACAGAAGAAAAGGCTTTTACAGTGGAGGGGAAGTGGGGGAAGGTGAGAGGGAATGAGTGAATATTATTCTCATTGGATTTGGCTTTAGGAGGGAATAACATACACACTCAATTGGGAATAGAAATTCATCTAACCCTACAGGAAAATGGGGGGAGGAGGGGACAAGAAAACAGGACGATGATAGAGGAGAGGGCAGACTTGGGAGGGGGTAATCAGAAGCAAAGACTTCTAAGGAGGGACAAGGTTAAAAGAGAGAATAGAATAAAAATGGGGGAGGCGGGATAGGATTAAGGGAAATATACTTAATTTTTCACAACATGACTGCTATGAAAGTGTTTTGCATAACTACACATGTATAACTTGTATCAAATTGCTTGCCTTCTCAATGAGGGTAGGTGGGGAGGGAGAAAGGAAGAAAATTTGTAACCCAAAGTTTTAAAAACAAATGTTAAAAAAAATTGTTTCCACATACAACTGGGAAGTAAGATATACGGGCCATGGGATATAGAGAACTTTCCTGCCCTACAGGAAAATTGAGTGGGAAGGGGATAAGAGAAGGGGGGGCCGATTAGGAGAAGGGGTATTCAGAATGCTTGCCATTTTGGGAGAGGGATGAGATGGGGAGAAGATTTGGAACTCAAAATCTTGTAGAAGTGGATGTTGAAAAGTAAAAATGAATGAAGTAAAAAAATTTAAAGGAATAGTAAGTTGTAAAAAAAAGGTATCGTTTATTGAGTACCTACTATGTGCTAATTAGTGTAGAGATAACAGAGTGTCAGCTGCATGTCAGTAAGAAAGAACTTCTGCTCCTTAGGGCAAATTAACAAAACAGATGGTAATGCGGCACATTTAATGTTAATTCCAATAATAAACATCATATCTTTTCTCATACTGAACCATTGGAAAGTGCCCAGAATTTTGGTAGTGGGACTTTACCAGTCTTCAGTAGCTGTGGCTTCAGCACCTACAGAAGAAGTTGCCAGGGTTTTGCTTCCTGGGCTGCTGATGGGGGAGGCTGGGATGGAAGTAGGAACAGTGGTCTGCAGGGCTGGGCTGCCACTCCCAGGAATCTTGGGCTTACTTGCCTGCTAGGGTCAATTGTTTAGTAATTGGTGGTGATAGTGACAAGGAAGGTGGGTCCCTTCTCCACAGAGATTGCTCCTCATTGAAAGAATGACTGTTTGGCCTAGGTTGGAAGCAGAGCCAATGGTCTAGGGGAAGGCATTATTTAAATGAAATGGTCAATCACAAAGGCTCTTGAGTAGTAGTTCTGGGTTATCACCATCCATTTGGAAGGGAACTTGGTAGTGGTTTGAATTCTCTGCCACATTCCATCTTCTTTTTCCCTCAGAGTGACTTGCTTTGTTAGCTAGTTTGGGTGCCTGTTTCACTAGCCTATTTGAATAGCCTAAGCAAGAGAGGATCAGGGTGTTAAATGGGTCAATGAACAAGTGAGGAGACAAGACAATGAATGTTGGAGACATGAAGATAGAATGTACCAGACTTGAAAACAATCAATTAGATATGTATAGTAAGTAAGAATGAAAAGTCAAATGTAACAATCATCCTACCTTATCCATTCTCTTGGGTCTTTTCTGCAGTGTCAAATAGTCCAACTTTTTCAGGGCTAGAAGTTACTTTAGTTTTTTCTAAATAAAGTGATTTTGTTTTAAAAAAGTATAGTTATGTTAGCCTTCTAACTCTATTTCCCCTACACTTAATTCCAGATTCAGCATCACATAATTATATGGGAGACCCATTCTTTCTATCTCCCTCTACAACCACAAAAATGTTCTCCAATATGACATTTTAGACTTGTGGACTTACCTTCTGACTATAGATTATAGGAAGCTCCTTATTGATTTTAGACCTGTGAACAAACAAATTCTACCCACTGTGATCTCCCCAAAATTTATCCCTTGTTGCGAGAGGGGTATCAAGAATGTTGAAGTTATTTCTTCAGCACCCATGCTTCTACCTTCCTCTCAGATATAGATAATCTTGACTTGCAAGCAAACTTACAAAAGCTTCACTAACCAGCTGTAACACAGAGGTATTCCCCTTTTTATTCAGCTGGCTTCTTTATTATGGGATCCTAGAGTCAAGTTAAGGTTCCTTCCTATGTCAGAGTCCTGCAGCCATAAACCCCCAAAATTTAGGGTAATTTGATTCTTTTCTCTGACCTTAGATCCTTCATGCTACATGATATCTACCATCTTCCTATCTCTCTTTTTAACTCAAGCCTTCAGACTGTCCCTCCAAATTTTTGTTTATAATATGTCTTTGTTCCCAAATCACCCATGGAATGGTAATGTCTGATATACCAATGGCATCCTTATAGAAAAGTAGTGAAATGTAACATACATCTTTACATATGTGCCTCGTTGCAATGGTACAATAATTTTGTGTTCACTCTCCTCATAGAACTCAGAGGGTTTCATCAATTATCCCTTTGGGGACCCAAACTTTTAGAGTGGATACAGATTGGGGAAGTAATCCAATGTGAGAATGAATTTGCAAAGTAAGCATGTAAAAATATGTTGAAAATAAATGTCAGGTAATATTTGGAGGGGAAGGCATTAGCATGTAGAAGAGGGATCAAGAAAGTCCTTGTGTAGAAACTGGCATTTGAGCTAAGCTTTGTGAAAATTAGGAATTCTGGGAATCAGGGGCAAGAAAGAAGTACATCTTGGGCATGGGAACTACAAAAGCAAGATGATGGCAGATAGCGTTGTATGAGAGACAGTAAGAAGGCAAATTCATCTGAACCAAGGAATAAATGAAGAGGAGTTATGGCACTGGAAAGGTTCTAGCCTGGTTGTGAAGGGTTTTAAATGCCAAAGAAGTTTACATTTGATCACAGAGGTAACAGGCACCACTGAAGTTTGTTGATTAGGAGAGTAAAATGGTCGGGCCTGAGCTTATATAGCAGTATCTTAGCCAGAAATAAGGAAGTTTGGAAGAGGGTGGCTTTGTACAGTAAGATTAATGAAATCTATTTAGTACAGGATTCGTATGGATATTCAAAAATGATAAAAAGCCAAGATGTATGGAACTGGGAGTTATCTCCATAGTGCTTATGAGGTTACCAAGAATAAGAGTGTGGAAGAGAAGAGAAGATGTTCCAGGACAGAACGATGGGAAAAAGTCATGGATTTGTGGTTCACTATGGACTGTGATCCAGTAAAGGAGGTTGATAAGGAACAATCAGACAGTAAAAGGAAAAAGAGAGACAGAAAGAGACATAGAAAAACTGAGAGACAGAGACATAGAGACAGAGACAGAGACAGAGAGAGACAGAGATTAAAGAAACCCAGAGAGAAGAGAGTATATGGGAGATAAGTCAAATACTATAAAGAGGTCTAGAAAAATGTGGATGGAGATAAAGCTATCAGATCTGGCTATTAAAAGACCATTAGTAACTTTGGAGAGATCAGATGAAGTCGAGTGTTGATGACTGAGTAAATGCAGCAAATATTTCAGCAATGAAAGGAAAGGCAACAAGAGTAGACAGTTTTTCTTAGGAGATGGCAAACCCCTCTGCATCCTGTGTGGCTTCACTCCATGTCCATGTATATATCTTCCATGGGTCCTCTACTCAACATTGACCCCAGGGCCTTTTTACAATCTCTTTACAGTAGACAGGTACCGATGGAGCATATAGGGAAATTCTGCCTGAGAAAAATGCTGTGCCATATAGTGACAGGGATTCCCAAGGATCGAACTAAAAGGAATGAAAATACTATTTTGCCATCCCACAGCTTATGACTTTGTATACCCAAAATTCATTAACATATAATCACATGCATGCATATGTACACATATGTACACATGGACACAGCACGTTATGAGGTAGTTGTGGGGGTAAATTCCAACTTTCTAAAGTTTCACGTTGAACCCCTTTCTATTTCTTGGCATTCTATCCACAGCTTGCTGAAAAATATGGCCCCATCTATACCCTTTATTTTGGAACTCAGCCTGTTGTGGTGTTACATGGATATAACATTTTGAAGAAAGCTCTAATTGATCAAGGAGATGCATTTGTAGACAGAGGAATTGTTCCAATATTTGAAGATGTATTCAAAGGACAAGGTAAGTTTAGTATATTCAAAAGAGTCATGGAGAAGCAAAACGGTATGGCAGCATATATCCAGTAAAAGGTATCCCCCACTGCACCTCAGAGCATAGTTATTGGTTTCATTTTTATCGTTCTATTCTCAGTACCTAGGATAAAGCCTTCATGAGGTAGGTACCTAATACCTACCATACTGCATTGTATGTTGGTTTGAATTAAATAAAATTAAATTTGATCAATTAATTAAGCCAAAAACCCAGTGGCCACCATGCAGAGTGTGCCCTCCAGCACCTCCAGTGTTAGAATGACCAGTGTCCTGTTCTTCTCTTTTGTGCAGGAATTGTTTTCAGTCGTGGAGAGAGATGGAAACATATCCGAAGGTTTTCCCTCATGACCCTAAGGAACTTTGGGATGGGGAAGAGAAGCATTGAAGAGAGAGTTCAAGTAGAAGCCCAATGCCTGGTGGAGGAGCTTAGGAAAACAAAGGGTTGGTTTTCAGTTCTTTCCTCCTGGGCATGTGGGGTCCAACTGCTCACCAATCCCCATCCTCAAAAACTACTTGCTTTAGTAGTCATTGTAAAAGTCTCTGCCTTGATACACTGTCCAAGTAATTATTCTGCTGGGGTAGAGAACTCCTTTCTCTCTTCTCATACTCAGGTATTATAAGTTTGTCTAGTTTCCTCATAAAGGGTAAAGTAAATTGTCCAGGAGAACAACATTCACTAGCCTTAGAGGAATTAAACACCATATCCATTTCTGGACAAAAGAGATGTCCAGTTCCTATATGATTGGAAACATTTCTTTTTTTTTTTTCAGCCAGAGGAAAAGTTTATTAGTGATAAAACACTTAGAGCCAGGTGATGACCATAAGGACGAGCTGGCATGAGAGGTTCTCAGCCTTTTGAGAGTGAGATTCTCAGCCCTCAGTGGGGGCCACGGTAGATCTTATATACTTTAGGTGAACAGGGAAGGGTCTGGGAAAATGGTCTGGGAAAAGGGTCTGAGAAAAGGGTCTGGGTGAGAATTCCCAGAGATTGGAATGTCTAAGAGATTGAACAGACAGTGTGAATAGAAAGTGAAGGAACTGAAAGGTATCTGAATGAGATTAAAAGGTAGGCTAAAGCTTTCAAAGGGAGATGAGGGGCTGGGGCCTGAGACCAAAGGGGAGTCAGATTCCCTTTGGGGTCAAGGGGGAAGACCTCAGCTTGGGCCACACCCCATCATTCCCCCCTCAAACAAATTTGACAGAAAATCTTTTGGGGAAAGGGATGAAGGTCTCGACTTCTGAAACTGCTTCCTGCTGGCACGGGGTGTAGAGCTGTCCCTTCCTCTCTGGGTGCTGTTTGAGGGGTCAAACATGAAAACCTGGCTGATGCCAGGTTCAGCAGGCTAGAATCCTCGGGTTGGCGTACAGCCTGAGCAGTCATCTGAAAGTTGATGGCTTCAACCCTAGAAGAAAGGAATCTGGCAAGGATATTTAGTAAACATGGATGAAACAAACACAAAAATATGATCAGTAGTGGAATGAGAATAGGAACCAGTATAGAAAGAAGCCAGGACTCCCATGAAAAAGATTTTGGATCACTAAAGTTATTGTGAATTTCTTGCATCCAACTAGCTTTCTCCAAAATATGAGCAGTGGAGAACTCTGTCTGCCCGAAATTGTTATAGGTGCAACAAAATGTGTTTACTAAAGCACATACACTCCCACTGGAGGCAAGCAAGTAGTCTGGGCCTATTCTGTTATGTAGAACTACTTTTGCTAAGGAATCCAAAGATTGCTGGATTTCCCACAGACCATAAGCTGTCACATTTGCCAACTGGTGAACAATCTCTGTAAGCTTAGAGAGAACATGTTCATGCTGTAAGTCACACCAGTACATAAGACAGTGTGCTCTGTTTTTAAGAGACCAGAGGACATTTCTCCAAAATCCATGTTTTGCCTTTAAGTTAGCGACTGTGGGCTGTTTGGCATTGAAAATGGAGAAGGGTGGTGCTAAAAATCCTAGGGTGCACACCCCAAAGTCTTTGTAGGGTGTCAAACATTGGGTGACCAAAACAGTAGTTCTGGGGTCTTGCCACGTGTTGGCACTTTGTTTCACCTTTTCCCCAAAATTCTTGTCACTAGTGGTATCTGCATAGACTGTGGTGCAGGTCAAAAGATTAGCAGAAACTCTTTCGAGCCCTCCCTCCACAGGGGTGTTAACTTGTCTCGTGGTCTTGCAGCTTGTCTCCCAAGTATGGGAATATTCCCCTGTGGAAAAACAAGGTGTTGATACAGAGAGAGTGGCCCATAGAGAATCGGCAAGCATAAATGGAGTGGCATAAATGTCTGAGAAAGTCATATCAGGAAGGGGGACTTTGTGGAGATGAGAGTTACTGTGTGGGTGTGAGTGTTCTAAAGAGCTTCCCAGTTTAACTAGGGATATATTTCCCCACTTTTGGAGGCCAGATGTAAATTTAGAGGCTTCCTCAATTAGAATGACTGTAGCAGCCACCACCAGGAAGCTTGCAGGCTTTCCAGTAGCTCCTAAGGACTGAGTTAGGGGTGTGGAGGTCAATTTAGATTTTAAAATCACAAAAGCCTGGTCTGGGCCCCACACTCGAGAGAGTGAGTCAGGGCCCAAAGGACAGTCATAAAGGGGCTTAACAATTAAACTATTATCAGAGATCAAGAGTCTATACAATCTATCCATACCTAGAAAAGTTTGAAATTGTTTCTTAGTGTCTGGAACAGGGAGTTCCTGGCCCAGAAACATTACAGACTGGCATGCTATCTGGATTTTGTTCAAAGAGACCCTTGAGTTCCCATGAAATGAAGCACTCCTGAGGCAGTGGACAAAGAAGCCTGTTGGGTGGGCTACAAATATGGCAAAGGGAAAATACTTTAGGGTTTTGGAGGTGAACAACAGCTGTGGTGGCAAAAGTATCCCAAATTGTCTCCCACACTTCCAGGGGAACATGGGGAGGTCTGGCACACAGAGGGAAAAGGGAGATGGGAGGCTTAACTAGAGAAAATTGGCTCCCCAACTTCACCATCAGGTTCCTTCCCAATGAGGGGGCAGGGCAAGAGGAGAATATAAGAGAGGAGTGTTTAAACAACAGATTCTCAAACAGGCAGGGGAAGTGGTATGTCTTCAGACATCCCTCAGTTACCTCTCAAATGCCCATGACCAGAGGGGTGAGGGAGTGAATAGGGCAAGGGTAATTGGTTAAAGCAGAGAACATAGCCATGCTAAAGTGGGTAACATTACTTTCAGCCTCGATTTCTGCCCAGGGTTTGGTGAGAGAGATGGAGAAAGTGGGAGCTTTGCCCACACCTAGGTTCCTTTGTCCTCCCCAGTCTTGAGAAGACTGGAGGACAGGGTACTGGGCCCTGCTCTACCACTTCTCCTACCTCGGGGACAATACTTCCTCCAGTGTTCCTCCTGGTTACATCTTGGGCAAGGTCCTGGAACTGTCCGTCTTGGGGGCTTCCTCCAAGGGGGTGCCCTGGAGGGGCACTCCTTGGACCAGTGAGCCTCCCTGTGGCCTCCCCTGCCCAAGCCACTGGGCTTCCTCCAAGGGGGTGCCCTGGAGGGAGACTCCTTGGACCAGTGACCCTCATGGTGGCATTGGAAGCACATTTTCCCACTGTCCAAATTGCCAGGAACATCTTTGGGTCTTTTCCTGACCATGGCAGCAGCCACCAATCTAGCATGTTCTTTGTCTCTAGGCCTTTGCCTGCATTTTTTCTCCTCTGCTGCAACTAGGTCTCTGTTGTTAAAGACTCCCAAGGCAGTCTCCAACAATAGGGCCTGAGGTGTTTGGGGTCCCATTGCCAGTTTCTGTAGTTTTCTCATAATATCTGGGACAGATTGATTAACGAAATACATGCCGAGGATTGCTGCCCTTCTCTAGGGTCAGGATCTAAATTTGTACACTTTTTAATGCCTTCTACTAGCCTCTTTTGGAAAAAGGCAGGGTTTTCCTTTTCCCCCTGAGTAATTCCCTTAATCTTTTGAAAATTTACTTGCTTTTGGAATGCTGTTTTCAGGCCTTCTAACAGCAAATTATCATGTAGTCCCTCTTTCCCCTATCCTCACTCTTCTGATAATCCCACCCCGGATCACTAGCAGGAACAGCAGCTATTCCTGGGGGGTATTTTGTGGGGCTATTGCTAGCCAAATGATCCCCCAAATTTTGGGCTTGTTCCCAGATTCTCTTCCTCTCCTCAGGGGTACAACAGGTGGAGAAGAGGACATGCAAATCACCCCAAGAAAGGTCGAATCGTAGGGACACATCCCTGAAGCCCTCGGTAAATTTAGTTGGATCTGGTGAGGTCTGAAATGGAGAACATGCACCCTAAGTGTTCCGTTAGGAGAGGCAGGTACTTCCCTTAAAGGAAAAAGCCCTGAAGGTCCTGCAGGAGCAGGGGCTTGTAGGGGAGGGAGGAAGTCCCACTTCTTATGAGTGAGAGACTGGAAAGTGCCGGCTCAACTGGCAAAGCCGAGGAATCCGGCTGGCAAGGGGGAAGATTACCTGACACTGGAGGAGGGGGAGGGATCAGGAGAGAAGATGCCACAGCGAGACCCTTGTCTGGAGCCTGAGGAGGGGTCCCATCCAAAGTAGAGGTCTGGGGAGGAGGCACCGAATTGAGAGCCTCCTCTGGAGCTTGAGCTGAAGTCTTTCTAGAAGAAGAGGCTGAGGCGAGGCCCTTGCTCAAGGCTTGAGTAGAAGTAGCCTCTAGAGCAGGGACCTGTGGAGGAAATGGAGGGACCAGAGGAGCAGAAGGGGGCATCTGGGGAGAATGAGGAAGAGCCAGAGAGGCCAGAGGAGAATGGGGTGGAGATAAGTGCTGGGGAGGCGGTGTCAACGGAGGTTGGGAAGAGGGGGATGCCATAACTCTAGGAGCCATAAGAGGATCATCCAAAAGGTCTATTTGGTCCCCACTCACCACTAGTGGGGTGGCTCTAGCTATGAGCATCTTATAATCCTTTCTGAGAACTGGATCTCTAGAAAGCTCAACAAAAGCAGTAAGTAAGAAATCTCCACCCATTTTCTTTCTCTGTGACAATATTTTTCTAACTCTGAGAGGGTCTTTACCCGTAATGTCCCAAAAAGGGGCCATGCCTTACAATTTTTCAGGTGATACTGAGGGTAAACGATGTCACAAAAATGTACCAGCTTTTTCTTTTTAAGTTCTTTACGGTAGCTAAGATGTTTCCAATTTAGTAAAAGACAGCCCAAAGGCAAATTCTTGGGAAATGAAAAGGATTAACCTATTGCAGGCTTAGGGAAAAGAAAAAAGAAGGAAAAGAAAGAAACAAAAATATACATCCAATGGTTTCCCAACTCCCTAGCATGGAGAGAACTGAGAAGTTTGAAGCTATGCTTCCTGATAGGGAGTCCATCCTCTATACTAAGGAAGGTATATACCCAGGTCCAAGTGCTCAAGCAGAGGCACTGGACCAAAAAGCCTGAGAATGTCAGGCAGAGTTCGAGACAGCCTCGTAGCTGTTTGACCTAAGGGAACCTGAGAGGTCAGGCCCGAAAAAACTTCCAAGGCAAGCCTGGCTAGCTGCTTGGAAATCCAGGTCCAAGTGCTCAAGCAGAGGCACTGGACTGAAAAGCCTGAGAACATCAGGTGGAATTGGGGAGGAGGAGGCTTACCAGTCATGGCTGAAGAAGAGTTTGAGATTTGGCAGTTATTTCCCGGTCAGGGAACCATAGGAAGAGGTCTAGGACTTTTGGGGTGCTGCTGGAACCCCAAGATCACGGTACTGGGCCCTGTCTGAAAGAATTCAACTCAAATCTTCTTCAGCCAGAGGAAAAGTTTATTAGTGATAAAACACTTAGGGCCAGGTGACGCCTGTAAGGACAAGCAGGCATGAGAGGTTCTCAGACTTTTGAGCTTGAGATTCTCAGCCAGAAATATTTCAATTAAAGCTGTTTTTTCCTCCTTTGGTAACTTTTCTCTTCACTAGGTCAGCCCACTGATCCCACCTTCATCCTTGGCTGTGCCCCATGCAATGTGATCTGCTCTGTCCTCTTCCATGATCGATTCAAGTACAGTGATGAGAAATTTCTAAATCTGATGAAGTTGTTAAATGAAAACTTTCAGCTTCTTAACTCACCATGGGTACAGGTAAGACTAGAGCTGTGACTTTATTCTGTGGTTGTTTGCTGAGTTTCAGCAACAGGATCAGAGTACTATAGGCTCTTATGTCTTAGCAAGGTCCCCAACACACATGACCATACAATACATATTCACATATCATGCCCTCAAGGATAATAACATCATGAAATATATTTGGTTTTCTAATAAGTTCCATGTAGATATTTTGTTCTTTGTCATACCAATATTTAAGTTATATGGAGAAAGGTCTGATTGGGGCCTGTGATATTGCAAGTAGGATATCGTTCATAGATGTGGCCAAGCAAAATAGCTATCAACAAAGAGCATTCCCAGGCCATATTGGAGAGATTAGGGAGGACAGGTGGCCAAAGCTAAGTGAACAAGTCATTTTGGCCAATAGCTTACACTGATTCTGGGAGTGCTATGGCCTAATCTCTACAATGGATGGACATGGAGGATCAAAGCCTTCATTCACTGAAGCCAGAACTAAGGATCCTCATCCAGCCAAAAACAAGCTTTCTTTTCTATTATCCATGTTCTATTCCACTTACCATCTTGGATACACACTCCAGCTAAACCCTTTTTTGAGAATGAGAACTGCTTCATTGTTGTCTATATTGTGGTAGCCTAGCACAGGACTTGGTTCACAGTGAGAGCTGAATAAATGTCTAATGGATTTTATTATCTTAATGTGAATTGAATACAATTTATTGGATGTCTTAGTATCTCTGTGTCTTCTTTTTTAATCTTGGCTTTTCCAAAATAAGTAGATTTCCCTTAACTCAAACATCAGCTTCTATTGAACAAGGAAATAATATTTTGATTTCTCTTCCCCCTCAGTGGGTATCACAGTACTAGATGAAGTAGTTTTGAGACAGTTGCCAATTTTTGCTTAGAACTGAGAAGAGTTATAAAACTCTTGGGATTTGTTCAGGACAGCTCACTTCTCCTAAGTGTCCAGGGGGACTATTCCTCTGACTGCTGCTTTGATTGAGAGATCACAAAATCATAGAATTTAGGGAAATAAAGGAATTTAATAAGTAAAGGGCTAGACCTGGAGTGAGGAAAAATAAATCTGAAACCTCCCTCAGGCACTTGAAATTTGTATGACTCTTCAAAAGTCACTTCTTTCATCTTCAGTTTACTTGTCTGTAAAATGGTGCTAATAAAAGCACCTACCTAACAAAGTTGTTATTAGCCTCAAATGAGCTAATATATGTAAATCACCTTAAGGACTTATAGAAATGCTAGTAGAAGGAAGAAACTAAGGTACAAAGAAGTGACATGATTTACCCGAGGTCACTATGTATGTCACAGGTCATGCATGCTGACCTGCCTCTTCTGACTCCAAATCCAAAGGCCTTTCCACTTAATCATTCTTTGCTGAAGAACAGACAACCTCATCTTCACAAAACAGACATGAACGAATTTAGCAAGAAACATTAATCGTTAGTATTTTTAAATTCTTTTGCTGATATTGTGAAATTCAGCCCCATGGTCAGCCCAAGCCTCCTTACTCTTGGCAAGGAGAGTGAGTGGTGATAAATTCATGAAATGAGGGCCTTAGTTTCTACCTTCAATTTTATAAGAGCCAGAGATTATCCTGATCTTCACTCGCCATGCTTACCATTTGTATCAATGCTACCTGGAGGCTGGAAATACCTTGGTTTGGTATTTAGTTTGGGGCTACAGAGATAAACAGGATAGGCTTCCCCAAGAGGCAGAAAACAGTATTCTGCTTATCTGGAATTCTAGACCCTCCAAATCTGGCAACATCTTACACCATCAGCTTGATCCACATACTACTCCATTTCACATAATTTATGACTGAGCCATGCTGGACCATTCTCTGTCGCACATCAAACCCTGCGCATCTTTGACATTGCAGCTTTGGTTTCCTATCCCCTCTTCCCTGAGTGTCCTTCAGGTCCCCTTTTTACCTGTTGAGTTTCTACCCACTCATTACAGTCAAACTTGAATCCCATCTACTTCATGAAGCCTATCTTGTTCCGTGCAATCAGCAGTGATCTTATGCTTCAGGACCTCCCATAGGATTTTATAAGCATCTTTCTGATGCACCAGTCATGTCTTATTTATTTAAGAGTCACTGATGTGTATTTTTCTTATTCCCCTTCTGGAATATGAATTCTATGTGAGCAGGGATTATATCTTTAAGAGTCCTTTGTCTCTCTGAACACATAACATTTTGCTCTACATTGATTAAGTGCTTTGTAAGTATTCATTGAATTGACCTAAGCGGATTAGTAATTGATAAGCACAAACTCATTTACTTGAGCTTATAGTGAGAAAGCTCATTTTACAGGATACCTTCTGACAAGCTGGCCCTCAAACACACACAAAATACTAAGGGCATATTCTAGCTTCTCTTGGAAGCCTTTCCACATTGGTAAGAGCTTCCAGATCATCTGACAGCCAAAGATTACCTCCTTACTGGGACTAGGCACAATAGGAGGGCTTTAGTAGAGGAAACAATAATTACTACTTAACTCAAAACTGGTTGTTCAGTTAGTAACTTTAACATAGTCATCAATATTTTTATACGTTACCAACAAAAGTGAACAGGAAGTGATAGAAATAGAAATTCCATTAACAAACTATAAAACATGTAAAATATTTGGGAATCAACCAACATGAGCAAGGGAAGTATTTGAAAAAAAGAAAACAATTACAAAGTTTCCTTTATGGAAATGAAGACTGACCTAAATCATTAAAGGAATCTCATTAGCCCATAGGTAGGTTGAACTTATTTACATAATAAGAATGGTAATACTACTTTAATTCTTTTGTTTATGTAATGCCATAGAAATCCAAGGATTATTTGATAGTGCAAGGAAAAATGATATTAAAATTCATCTGGAAAACAAAATGTCAAGAATCTCAAGGGAAAGGGCAGCTAGGTGGTGCAGTGGATAGAGCCCTGTCCCTGAATTCAGGAGAACCTGAGTTCAAATCCGGACTCAGACACTTAACACTTACTAGCTGTGTGACCGTGGGCAAGTCACTTAACCCCATTGCCTAGCCAAATATTAAAAAAAAAAAAGAATCTCAAGGGAAATCATAACAAAATGGGAGAAAGGAGCCCAGTAGTACCAGATCCCAAAATGCTTTGTTACTAATTTAGAAATAGAGGGACAGGTCAGTACAATAGATGAAGTATACTGCAATTAGACACAAACTACTCTGATAGCCTAATGTCTGATACACACACAAAAAAAAAACCAACAAAAAACTACGGCTACTGGGGCAGGAACTCACTATTTACTAAAAAAAAAGGTGCTGGAAAAATTAGGAAATATTCTGAAAAAAAGAAAAGCTAAACTAAAACTTCACAATGTATGCAAAGATTAGCTTCAAATTTACACATGCCAGATATAAAAGGTCACATCAGATACAGCTTAGAGATATAAGGAAGAGAATTCCTTTTGGATCTGTAAATAGGGAATAAAAATGGATTTAGAGACTCACAGAAGATAAAAGGACCATTTTTTAAAATTAATTTATTTTGATTTATCAATCATCACTCTCATAAACTTGTGAGTTTTAAATTTTTCTCCCCCTCTCTCCCCATCTCCCTTCCCAAGATGGCTTGCAATCTGATATAGGCTACAGATATTCATACCTATTAAGCATATTTTCACATTAAGGATGTTGTAAGTAAGAATTAGAACTAATAGGAGGAACCACCAGAAAGAGGAAAGAAAATGCAACAGAAGAAAAAAAATAGCAAATGGTATGCTTCGATCTGCATTCAACCTCCATAGTTCTTTCTTTGGATGTGGATAGCATTTTCCATCATGACGCCTTTAGAGATGTCTTATATCCTTGCATTACTGAGAAGGGTTAAGTCTATCAATATTAGTCATCACATAACATGGCTGTTACTGTGTACAATGTTCTCCTGGTTCTGCTCACTTCACTCAACATCAGACCACACAAATCTTTGCAGGTTTTTCTGAAGTCTGCCTGTTCATCATTTCTTATAGCACAATAAAAACAACTGTTAAAAATTGTTTTCACATGCAACTGGGAAATAAGATATACAGGCAATGGGGTATAGAAATCTATCCTGCCCTACAGGAAAATGGAAGGGGAAAGGAATAAGAGAAGGAGGATGATGGAAGGGAGGGTAGATTAAGTGAAGGGGTATTCAGAATGCATACCATCTTGGGTGGGGGAGTGAGATGGAGAGAAAATTTGAAATGATAAATTTATAACTAATAATCATCATAATAATAATGAGAAAAAATAATTCATAACCATTCAAGTCTAGCAAGAGAATGAACTTATGTGTAAGTGGTTGCATTTCATTTCATTATGATCAAGATTGCATCCTTAGTTGATGCATTTGTCATAGTGTTTGGATAAATAATTTATGCTATTTATAATGAAAGCTATATTTGAATTAAAAAAAAGAAAAGAAAACCTTATCCCACTTTACTGCACTTTAAAGATTGTCACAAAAAAATGGCCCTTAGTGGCTTTCTTTTAAAAGTGGACAAGTCTTGATTTTCTCCTTCCAAATGTTTCAAAAAATATTTAAGCAAAGGTGAATATTATATGTTGGAGGGACTATGGGGAAAAAAAACATACTGACAAACCATTGGTGTAGCTGTGAATTGTCCAGGCTATCTGAAAAACAATTTAGATCTGTCAGTCCCAAATGAGTAAATCATGTATGCCCTTTAAACAAGCAATGCCACTATTTGGCCAGTACCCCCAAAAATAAAAAAAGGAGAAAATATACAAAATTGAAAGCTATGTGCTAAAAAAAAAAATTGAAACAAGTTTCTTGAAGAGGCTGCAAAGTACTGGAAACTAAAGAGCTGCTAATTGAATGGGGGGATAGATGAACAAATTATGGTATTGAATGCAGTTGAATTCTACAATGTTGTAAGAAATTATGAAAGGGGCAGCTTTACTTCTGGGAAGATGTTATGAATGGAAGCCAAGTACAGTGAGCAGGACTAATTTGTTCAATAACAGAAACAGTGGAAAGATAAACACCATGCAAAGCTAAAGAACTCTGATCAATGTAAGCTTCCACAATGATTCCAGAAAAACCATGATGAAGCGTGCTGCCCTCCTTCTGACAGAGAGTGGATGGACTTAAGATGTAGAATATGACACACATTTCTGGTTGTTGCCAAGGTGGGGCTTTGTTTTGGTTGGCTATGTATACATGTTTCACGGGTTTTGTTTTTCTTTTGTTCCCAATGTGCAGTGAAGATGAGAGAGAAAACACTTTTTGTTAATTAAAAAAAATAATTAAACTAGAAAAGAAATGCACTGCTCTTGTGTAGAACATTATAGTTTATAAGTAGAAATATGAAGTTGTCTCTTTATGAAAATGAACTCACATGTGTTTTTTGGGGTTTGTGAGGGGGTCTCTAGCTCTACAACATTTTACCGGCATTCAGAGTGTACCTCCCTGGAAAGCGTAAAATGTTTTCTAGAAATGTGAAGGAAATTCAACAGTTCATTTTGGAAAGAGTGAAGGAGCATCAAAAAATATTGGATCCTAACAACCCTCAAGACTACATTGACTGCTACCTCTCCAAAATGCAGCAGGTAGGATGCATGGGGGAACCACCTTACTCACTGATCAAGACTGATATTCTAAGGATTCTTACAGGCCACTCTCATTGAAGAACAGGAAGGGACATCAGAGAGTCTCAAGGTATCCACATCCCCCAAGTATTCTATTGACTTTCTAGTAACTGGACTTTGCTCTGACCCTTTCCCCCATCTGAACTCTGTAAGTGAAATTGTTGTGATGGGCAGGTGTGTGTTGTGTGGTCACCTCAAAAGAATTCACAGAGTCAGCTGATCTCCAATCCAAGCAAAGGCATTTGTTGAGGATTACACTCTCCAGCAGGCTATGCTACCAGCAACTAGCAAGAAGAAGAACCAGCAACTAGCAAGGCAAAAACAGAGATTTTTATAGAGCAGAGAGTACCACCAAATATCCTGGGTCTGACCCAAATACCTTGGATCTAGCTCAAGTCATGCTCCCCTGGTTACAAAACATACAGAAAGGCAAAGTAAAACTGTATACAGCCCATAATCCATATGATAATGATATTATAAGAAGTGTCCCTACATCATAAGTTCGCCGAAAAGACAATCTTTGGTATTACTCTGCAGGTGCCTACTTAGGGAACTTCCCTTCTATGATTTGGTGGACAACATTCTGTCTGGGTAATGCATTCAATGGTTAAAACATATTTATCTTAGGCCAGAGGGGTTCCTCACTGTCTAGCAACTGTTGCCGTCACAGTCGTTCCTAACAACATAATTGCTGCTAACATTGCTACCTCATCAACTCCCCCCTAAAGCAATATGGGACCCAAAATCATTTAGGTGGACAAGGGGTGGAGATCTCATTTTATGGAATTTTTTTAGGGCAACAAGGGTCATAGAGTTTTCCGTGCCTCACTGGGTTGCAGGAAGGAGGTCAACTGGAACCAAGCATGGGCCACATCCAGGGGATGATGGGTTGGTATGGGCTGGTATCCATTGTTCACTACCAACTGTAGGTGAATCTCCTGTAGTCTGGAAAACACAAATCTAGCAAACAAATTCAATATGCAAGGCCCAAATATAAAGAGCAAGAAAATAATTAGAATTAATGTCAGAATGGGGGAAAGCAAAGAAAGCCGTAAGTTACTTCCCTTTAAAAAACTGATTGTGCTAAAATTCTCTTTCCAAAACCAAACTGAAGATGTTTTTTTAAAATTTAAACAATTAATAGAATAACAGCTAAGTCCCTCAATCAGCTGTAACCCAATTATTCTCATATCATTTTGAAACACTTAAGGATCTTATTTTATCTTTGAACTGTATTAAAATCCTGTTCCTTAAACAAAAACAAAAGAGATTCCTGTCTTTAACCTCACAACTTAATATATTCACAGTCTTTGTTTAACAAGCTTGGTTACCCTCCTCTAATTATATTCATCATCCTGAAAGAATGAGATACTTCAGGAATTGAATCTTTCTCTCAAATAGTGTATTAATGCCATCAGACGGCTATACTTAAGTTTAAACTGAAAATAATATAAATTACAGTCCCAAGAGATTTTACCTCAAATGGCAAGTCTCATTAATCACAGCTTAGGGCTAGATACATTTTTAATCTTCTGGGATTTCAATAAGCAATAAAAATTTACCACAAATTACATCCATAAGAGATTTCACGTAACATTTTTCATTTGTTTTTCTCTCCTCAAATTTTTAACTTATCCTGGTATAAAAACAAATCATTAAAAATCATTTTTATATTATACATAGAATTGCAAATTCTCAGAAAACCAAGTTAATTATTTGGAAACTCCATATTCCAAACAAGCTCTTTTCCAGGACTGATGACCTTGCCCACACAGATGGTTTCCAGGTAGCTGGCAAGTTTATAAAATATGGGAAAGAAATGAAGACTCCAAAGAAGAGGGTGGTTGTCCACCCCATGATTTCTTCCTCTGAACTAATGAAAACTACATGCTTTCTGAAACTAATGCAAAAATTTACTAATTTAAAACTTAATATAAACCTATTACTAATTAAGTAACTTCAATCTTATTAAATGCATTTCCAAATTACTTACACCAAAAAAAAATGGGCATCTCATTACCATAAGGCAATGATATCTTCACTTTGACAGGCATTACATTCTGTACTTTATACTCATGTTAAAATATTTCATATCTATGCATTTTCCCAATTTATCTTAGTGCCAAATAGTACAATAAATTCTACCTTATCTTAAACATCAAATTAAAAAAAACAAAACAGTATTTCCCCTAAGATGTTACCACCATGAATTTGAGTACCTGGACCTATATTCCAAAAGTTATTACACAAAATCTGGAGTTACGATTTTAATACTAACTGTGGTATTATATTTTACACAAATGAACCCCAGTTATCACACTTAAGAGCACATTTAATTTAATTCCAATCTGGGTTCCACAATCTTGGAAGGAAGCCATACCTCTCTATGATTTCTTCTTATGAATAGGAGTCTCATATAATTTGGTCAAGTTGACAATTTTAACACACATACTGATTTTAAAAAGTTATTTTAAAACTGACCAGGAGTTAACTTTAGTTTGTAAGACTCCCTAAATTCTAGCAAGATGTTCCAATAAAATACAATTACCTTTGGTTTTGTCCCAGTTCACACAAACTCTTTAAGTACACGTTCTATTCCAAAATGCAGCTTTGAAACTTTCAGTGGCACTGCACCTTTTTGATAAGTGAAATGATCTTGTTCTCTTAGACCTGAGAGGAAAAGGTTCCCCATTCCTTTTTTCTGTCTGTCCCTTCACACCCAGAACTTGGCCACAGCTGACGAACAGGGAGAGAGAGAGAGAGAGAGAGAGAGAGAGAGAGAGAGAGAGAGAGAGAGAGAGAGAGAGAGAGAGAGAGAGAGAGAGAGAGAGAGAGGGAGAGAGAAAGTTAGTTTTGCTCAACAACTTTTTCTTTAACAAGAGAGTTCATTAATCTTTCTCTAGCTACATCCTTTAGAGGTCTTTCTTTTCGGGCTGCCTGCATTTTAAATCTTACAGATGTTTTCAGACAGACAAAGAGACAAAAAGGGAAGTCCACAAGCCTGAATATGCTTTTTTATAAATCCCCTTCACTCAGGCCACTTTTCTTGGGCCTCTAGATTGTTTTGAGATGAGGCTCTATTACAGCTTGGTAGTCCCATGATGTTGGAGGGGACTGCTCCCTTATGCTATAAGCCTAAAGATTCCTTTCCATAGCCCCTCACTTCGTCACTCAATGTCCCATGGAGAGGGAGACAAAGGAGCTCAGACAGCTAACAACAAAGGTTCCCAAACAGAGTGTCCTCTGTCTAGAAGGAATTTCAACACAAAGGTTCCTAAAAGGGAATTTGCCAGGCACAGAGACCCATGGGCTCTAGGGCCCACCATCCCTCCAAATGTTCCTCAGTACTTCAGGGATCTCGTCTAAGAAAGAGAAAAGGGAAAGGCTTACCTTGGATTGGAGGGGGTCTGAATCAGAGACTGGGCCCACACAGGACCAACAAAAATGTTGTGGTGCACTGGTGTATGTTGTGGGGTCATCTTAAAAGAATTCACAGACTCAGACCATCTCCAAGCCAAGTATATCGAGGTTAACACTCTCCAGCAGCCTAGGTTCCTTAGAGGAACCAGCAAGTAGCAAGGCAAAAACAGAGCTGAAAATACCACCAAATATCCTGGGTCTTACCCAAGTGCCCTGGATCTGCTTCAAGCCATGATCCCTTGGTAACAAAAAAATATACAAAGGCAAAGTAAAACTGTGCATGTGACTGCCAATAATGCATATGATAACAATATCATCATAAGCCTCTCTGCCTCATAAGTTCATCTTAAGGACAATCTTTACTATTGCTGTGCAGGTGCCTACTTAGGGAAAGTTTCTTCTGTGATTTTGTGGTCATTCAAATCCAGCCTCAGACACTTCCTAGGTGTGTGACCATTCCAAATTTCTCATTTTTACATCGTTGATGGCTATAAGTCAATGTTATTCCATGCATGATTAAGCTCATATATGCAGGATTACATATTTAGGTCTGCAAGGATTCTCTTTTGATTTTGATATTATTGTTTTCCCAATATCTTTTTTGATAAGGAGTAGTCCTGACGTACTTAAATTTAATTTCCTTTCTAGGTGAGGGGCTTTGTTTTCGTTGCCCAAAATATTTGTTCAGTGTTGAAGAACTATTGTTTGATCACTACAGTTCTTGATGTGTTAAACTTGATGTTTCTTTCTGTTGCACAGTCGATGAATTCTTCCAATACATATTTTGTCCTCAGCTCTTGATAGTTGTGCATTTTTCATTATAGAAGTGTTATATTCAGGATTTAAAATTAAGTCTATATTCCTGAGATATAGAAGATCCTTAAATTATTTCATGTCCTATCTTCAAGATCATTTTAGCTTATACAGAGCCAATGTGTTCCAAAAGTCTTGTCTCTACATTTTGTGTGAATATTTCTCTATTTTCCAGTGCCAAATCTGCTAGTTTCACCTATAAAGAGTCTATAGAGTTTTAGACACATTATTTATCATATGTTCTAAATTGCCTATTTACTGTTTCATTTTTGAGACCTGTTATTTCAGCCCACTCTTCCACCTTATTTCTTCTTTAAATTCTTTTCTCTTTGTGAAACAGTTTAATAATCATAGCTATAGCATGTACATCATGCTCTAAAAATTTCAAAGCACTTTACAAATATTATCTCACTTGTGCCTCATAACAACCCCAGCAGACAGATGCTATTATTACCCCCATTTTACAGATGAGGAAACAGAGGCAGATACAGGTCAAATGACTTCCTCAGAATCACAAAGCTACAAAGGTTTGAGGCTCCATTCACTGTGCCACCTAGCTCCATTCACTGTGCCAGCTAGCGCCATATAGGGTATTGCTCTTTTATTTCTGAGAGTCCTGTAATACTTACTACATTGTTTTCTCATTTGTCAGAGGAGTTTGAATAGCTGTTCTTAATTATATAGTATATATTCATTGCTTTATATCCAGGTCTACATTATTTGCTTATTTTCCCTCTTCATTGCAAAATGATTTGAATGAGAAATGAGCTTCTACATAAGCTTTGTCTCAGCGTTTTAGAAACAAAACAAAACCATAGACAGCTTCTTGTCTGTTCCACATAACATGGTATTAGGTCACCCATTTGGGCCATACCACCACCTACCCCTTTCCATTTTACCCTGTGTGACCTTAAAAAAGTCACTTCACCTCTCTAGGCCATAATTTCCTTCTCTGTAAAATCAATGTGTTGGCCAAGTGACCTCCTAAGTTCTTCCAACCTGTAAAACCTATCAGCTTGCATATTTCACAGAATATCAAAGAACTTGTAAATTGGAAGGTACCTCACCAGACACTTAACTTTACAGGCTGTTACACAAATGGATCAGAAAGCTTTTGCTTTCCCACTCCCAGGAGACAGAAATCATAACAATGGTTTGAAATTATAGAGAAACATTTCATTTTTACATGAGGGGGATAATGTCCAAAACTGGAATGAAATCCTTCATTGAATAGTAATTTCTCCATATGTGGAAGTCTTCAAGCTGAGGCTAGTTGACAATTTAATGGAGATTTTGAAAAGGAAATTTCTGATCAGTCACGGGTTGGTTGGATGAAGATAATTTTCCCTACAAATATTGAAATTCTGTATTCTCCACCACAAAACATTTCTCTCAATTCACTATCGTGAAAATTTGAAATTCCTTCTTGTTGTTATTGTTGTTGTTCTTTTACAAAGATGCTATCCTGTTTTGTGGTGAAAATAACAGTTAAGGGGTCACTTATGAGGTCATTAAGGTTTTAAGTAAATTACTGCATCAGGTCCTCTCAATACCATACATATCATTGATAATAAAGAGAGAGCTGAAAGGGATCCAACTCATGCCAAGAGGAATGAACTGGCTTTCCCTTGGACACATACATACCTCTGAAGTTAGGCTAAATTTAAATCCAGGTCTTCCTGGTTCAAGGTTTAATGCTCTAGCCTCTATGCCATATTGTTCGAGGAGAATAAGGTTGCCCAGGAAGGGCAAACCTTTGGTTAGGCAATGGAAGGCTGAGGGTATAAGGAAGGTTCTTGTCTCTCAGGGTAGGGAAATGATAGTGGGGGAGGGCTCCTAGGACAAACTTTATGTACCTCATATGGTCACTAAAGGCTTTCCCTGCTGTCTCACATTACTTCATTTATTTTGTACCTCTTCCTTAGGAAAAAGATAATTCCCATTCTGAATTTGACTTGGAGAATCTATTAATGACTGGAACAAATTTATTTGCTGCAGGAACAGAGACAACCAGCAGCACCCTAAGATATGGCCTGCTGCTCATTCTGAAACATCCTGAGGTCCAAGGTAAAGGCCAAGTATTGTCATGCTTTCAGACCAGGCTTGCTTTCCCAGTCCTCTACCTGGCTCAGGAACTGGCCCCACTTTCCCACCTTTTGGATTTGCATGACTCTCACACAGATCAGCAACAGGTCAGACAGTAGCATATTTAAGAAAACAGAGCTCTTGGGCAAGACATAATAGTTATTTTAAAGTATGTGGAGGTCCGTCTTTGGGAATTCAATTCATTTTAATAAACATGTGTAAAACTCCTACTGTTGCACCCTCAGTTCTATGCTTAGGATGCAAAGACTCAAATGAAACACCCCCTTTCCCAAAGTGGCTTACATCCTACCAGGGCTGGTTCTGTTGGATCCAAAGAGGCAGAACTAGGAGCCATGGATAGAAGTTGAAATTGACCAATGGAGGCTTCATGTAAGGAAAGACTTGCCAGCTATTACAGTTCTCCCAAAGCCCATTCAGCTGCCCTGGAGGTATGAGTTCTCACTTACTGGAAGTTCTCAATCAAAGACTGGATGACTATTTGCTTATTCCATTAGAATCAGGATTCTTGTTCAGCTATAGATGGCTGTAGAGGAAATGAGTCATTTCCAATGCTGAGTATCTATGCCTCAGCAACTTAGGATATTGACTGAGACAGGATTTGAGATACATACCTGGTGAATGGTTTAAATCAGGATGATAATGCCATCACCAGCACTATCAAATTCAAATGAAGATGTCTACTTTCTTTGACAATAAGAGCTGGTATCAATATAAAGAATGTGAGGTTTATAAATCACTTGACATACATAATTTCATCTGATGCCCTCTAAGGGAAGTGCAATTGTTATTTCCATTTTACAAACTAGCAGATAATAGATTTAGAGGTGTAGGGAACCTTAGAAGACAGATAATTTATCATGCCCATTTTTCAGATAAGGAAAATGAGGTTTAGTTATGTTTAATGAATTGCCTGAATTTATACAAATGGTGTCTAAAGAGGAATGTAAACATACTTCTTCATGACTACTATACATTAAGCCACAGAAAATTATCCCATTGCTCCTATAAAAGCCTTTGTACTCTTCACTGAGTAAAAGGATGACAGTGAGCCCATCTGAGAATCATGTTAGGTCATGTTATCAGGCAAGTACTCCACCCAGTCTCTGTTGGGCATTTCCAGACTGGAAACTCAGTGGTTATTCCTGTTTTTGTTCCTGCAGCAAAAATTCATGAGGAAATTGATCGTGTGATTGGACGTAATCGAGTTCCTTCCATAAAAGACAGACAAGATATGCCCTATACGGATGCTGTTGTGCATGAGGTGCAAAGGGTAATTAACCTCCTACCTCTCAACCTGCCCCATGCAGTGAACCAGGACATCCAGTTCCAAGAATATATCCTCCCAAAGGTGAGCAGTCATGAGGCCAGGGGATTTAGTGTTGGAAGACATCTCAAATATCATCTGGTCCAGTGATCATATTTTAGACATGAGAAAACCAAGTCTCATTGTCATGATTTCATAGGAAGTTCTCCTTAAGGCAGTCTTGGTTACATACACTTTGTTATATATCTTGGATGTGGTGCTGAATGAAGAATAAGAAGAAAGTATACACTTATCTTGTTTCTCCTTGCTTCAGATTCGCCACAGCAACACACTGGAAAGAAAATGTATAGGGAAAATAACAGAGTAAAGTTGCTGAAGACAATATTTAGTATATGTCATTTCCTTTTACTAGACAGAGAAGTAGATTGTGTAAATAATATTGTCTGTCCCATTGTGCAGATGGAGTCATTGAATATCAGATCAAGTGATTTGCCCAAAGTAATTTAAAAATGTTGCACCTGAAACTAGAAGCTTGGTCTTTTGACTTAAAGTATTGCTTTTTAGGGTTACTAAATATTAATTGAGTTAGATTGAAGTTTCCTAACAATGCCTGAGCAGAAGTATTCTGCTTCAAAGAAAGAAGAAGGGAGATCCCGCCTAATTTCACATTTAACGTGCCCCATCGAGTGCATTGTTCAGTTCAGATCACCAAAGCTTCAGTAAGAACCTACTATGTGAAAATTGCTGGTCCAAGTGCTGTTGACAAAAAGCAAGAATAGAAGAATATTTGGCCAATGAGGACATTGGCTTCTCCTGGAGAGACCAAAATTTGGAAGCAGAAAAGTCAGCCCCAAGTGTTATTTTGTTTCTTCATACTCAGGCTGTGATTTGATTAGTAGAGTGACTTTCTGATGAAGAAACTACCGCGGGGTTTGCCCCTAGAGACTTTAAGCATTGCCTGGGACACTGACCATTCACATGTCCTGCCCAGAGTCACAAAGGCAGCAGGTGTAGACATGAAGTATAGACCAAAGAACTGAGGGGAGAAAGACCACAAAGAGCTCAGCACTTTAGCCAAGTCTTCCTACGGGAGTAGGTACCCAACCCAGTACTTGAAGAAATGCTGAAGTGAGCAAGGATTGCCTTCCAGGCATGGGACATAGCCATTGTAAAGCCAATGAAGACCAGATATGGAGCCTTATGGATGGGGAGCAGGAGTTTGACCAGGTTAGCTGGAAACCCAAGGAGGGCATGATGGGGACAATGATAGGGACATAAACCAGGAAAGCTACATTGGGACCTATGAAGATCCTCAATGTCTAGACATCCCAGTCTATACCACACATAAAGAAGTGTGTATTTAGTACTAGAGAAAATAGGGAGCCACTGAAGACACTCGGGACTAGCATACAAAGGATATTTGTAATGATAACTGACTTTCCGTGGAATTTCTTTACTCTAGGGCACAACCATCTACCCATTGCTCTTCCCAGTCTTGTGTGACAGCAAAGAGTTTCCCAATCCTGACCAGTTTGACCCCCAGCACTTCCTGGATAAGAATGGGGAGTTCAAGAAAAGCGACTACTTCATGCCTTTTTCCATTGGTAAAAAGAAACCCTTTCCATCACTACCTCTTCTTCTAAAAGGAGAATCCTGTTCCCCCTCCCAACCTCCTCTGACTGAGCCTCTTCATAGTAATTCTTCTCACAACACACTTCCCCACTGTGGTCTGTGACACACTGTCTTTTCCAGTATTCCCATGACCTGGCTTCTTCTTAGATCCCTCAAGCGATGAGGTGATCTTTTTGGCTGGCTCACCTGCCCCCTGATTTTAGTGGAACTCTGACTCCATTGCAAGTTCCAATGCACAAGGGCTCCCTATGTGAAGAATAGTATGAAGAAGGAATTCCTTTGTTACCCTAGTGACTATTAATGGATGAAATATAACTCACAATAAGAGTTCTCAGTATTTCTGCCCATCTACATCCTTCTCTTTTACTCCCTTTCCGCACTATTATCCTGGTCCATTGAGTGTGTTTCACTTTGGCTGACATACTGATATTCCCTGCAGATTTCTAAGCACAAGTTTTGTTTCTTTCCAGGAAAACGGTCTTGTCTTGGAGAGGGCCTGGCAAGGATGGAGTTGTTTTTGTTCTTTACCACCATTCTACAAAATTTCACCCTCAAATCAGTTGGAGATCCAAATGAAATTAACATCATGACCAATCGTGTTGGGTTCACAAATATTCCACCATATTACCAACTATGCTTTCTCCCTCACTAAGGAAGAAGACAAAAATTGATTTGGAAAATTAGCCATCTTGTTTCATCTTCTGGAGTCAATAATCTCATGTTGTTTACTGGAATCCCCTTGATGAAAAGAAAAAATTTCCTCTTTATGATTGAAATGAGCCTTAATTTCCAGAGACAAGACAGGCTAGCAGAGCACCTTGTATGTCATTATGGAATAGGGGCTGCCTTATAGATATTCTGTGCAACCATCTCACTGATGTCTCCAGTCATGCTCCAATTCACACCCTCAATTCTAGTTTTAAGGTGTAGAGAAAGATCTATAAAATACCCCCCCAAAAATTCATATTAGTTTGTACTTTTCTTTTCAAATATCCTCAAGATAATCTTACCATGTGTAGTTGTTCTTTGTGAATTTGGGGCACAATATACACGGCTGTGTTCCCATTAATTCGATGTGAAAATGTGTGCCTTCACTTCCATACACTGAGGATTTAGGGCTTCATAAGGAACAGGGTAGTATGGAAGGATCCCTGAATTTGGGGATAGAGGACCTTGAAACAATCCTGCCTCTAATGCTAACAACTTGCTTGGCCTTGGACAATTCACTTCACTATATATTCTCACATCAGATTCTTCAGTTCTACAATGATAGGATTGGACTACATGAAGTCAGACTTCCCTACTGACTCTCCATTTATGATACTTTGATCAGTGGAGATAGTCGATCCACCCATCCATGCTTTAGTGAGCCATTTTCAGAAGTTATATTCAAAGGAGAACCATCCCCTGGTGACAGCCACACCACTGATGGACTTCTCTGCCATTGGCTAGGATGGTCATCAGATGACTAAGTCACTGTCCATTGATGGACCCATAACTTACTAGATTTGTAGAATCTTCTAGAGTTTAGCCCCTAAGCACCCAATGTCTCCTTCATGCTACAACACCACACAGCACAACAACCTGTCAAGGATCTATGATTTTGTTGGTAAAGCCCCAGAGAAGGTCAAAACTCAACTACAATTCAGCAGTTAAGTCGGAGAGAGTTGCCTAAATTTCTTAGACATCATGGGACTTGCCTATGGCTACATAGCTTTAAAATTTTATAAGCAGAACTCAGACCCATATTTTTCAGACTCGAAGTCCAGCATTCTATCCACTATAACACACTACCATCTCTTTCCGTGGCTCACACTTTCTGCATCCACCTTTTCTCCTTCAGTTCCGTGCCTCCTTGTTTTCCCAGGGCCTCACTCCATCTCCTGATTTACTTTCTTTCAGCATCTTGACCTAATACTTAAGCAGTGCCATCTCAAATTGACCTCCATGTCAAATCCCCTATTGCCTTGACCTATGGAGACATGGGTCACTTACCAAATTCCAACATTGAATTACTCCTACCATTTGCCTTCTCTGTTGCCATAGTCTTGGTACTGGACACAGAACTCTTATCTGACTCAATACCTCCCTACCTTCCGCAACTATTCTAACATTTCCCTTTCCTACTGAGTCCTCTCACATCTCCCTCCACCTCACCAGAAAACTGAACTCCATATTTCCCTGAAAAAAATTGAGCATATATATTTGTATTTTATTTTCTATAATTCTATATTCTAGGCCACCTCTCCATCATACACACACACACACACACACACACACACACACAGACTGCCTTTCTTTTGTTCCAGTATGGTAGAGGGAGGCAGAGGAACAGAAAAAGAAAGTAGCATTTCTGCTTGCAACTACCAGCCCCTCTACTTGGGGCTTTAATCACAGCTCTTCCTTTCTATGTGTTTGTTTTTTGTTTATTTTGTTTTGTTTTGGTGAGGCAATTGGGGTTAAGTGACTTTCTCAGGGTCACACATCTAGTTAAGTATTAAGTGTCTGATACTGGATTTGAACTCAGGGCCTCCTGACTCCAAGGCCAGAGGTCTGTTCACTTCACCACCTAGCTGCCCCCCTCAGCTCCTCCTTTCTCTTCTGACAGTTTATGCCTTCTGTCCTCCCCTGTTTTTATCTAATTTTCAATCTCTCCATGTCAACTGCTTCTTTACCTGCTGCTTACAGTCATATGCACACCTCCCTCATTCTTAAAACAATGAAACCTAACTCCAGAGGTTCCCTGTCTGCTTCTTATTACCTTGTGTTTCTCAGCGTTCTTGGCCATTCAAACTTACACAACATGCCTTTTGGAATATCTGCTGAGCTAACAACAGCTCTTCTGGCTGAGTTGAGGAGGAGGGTTTACTTCAGCTTCTGGGAGGCACACTACATCTGAGTCCTGTATGACTGGCTTTTCATGTTAAAGATACAAGGCGCTGAGTCACTCATGGCCAGCCAGCAAGTCACCTGGGACTCCCTCTACATGCTCTGTTCAACTCCACTTATATTGCTCCTCTCTCTCTCTTCTTTCTTACACGGTCAATCTCCTAGAATTGATCCATTGTCCTCTACTTTCTCACCTCTTATTTAATCTCCTCTCCCCTCCACTTGTAATCTGGCTACAATTTTTATTACTCTAAAGAAACTGCCCTCTCTGAGATTAAGGTGTCTTTTAATGGCAAAACTCTCTTGCCTTTCATGAAACTTCATCTTCTGATTTCTCTGAAGCCTTTGATGTTATTGACTACACTCTCCTTGTGGGCCAGTACTTCTCCTCCCTGGATTTCCTTGACACTGTACCTCTTTTCTAGTTCTCTTCCTCCTCCCTGCCTGGCCACATTGCAGCCAAGATTATTTGAAACAGAAGACTCTGTCCCATGAATGAATTTAGAACTTCATGGCCAGTAAGGGTGGGGGGTAAGTGGCAATAGGAGGCATATTAATCCCTTAGCTATGCTAGTTATTGCATAGAAACGGTCAGAACCATAATTAGCAGTTCTGACATCAGGGACAGAAGCCCTAAGTGACTTCAAAGGCACTTTGAATTGACCAGGGCATTCAATGCACTTTATTGAAGAGACAGAGACGTTGGGAAAGTGCAAAGGAAAACACTGGGTAGGCAAGTGATAAAGACCAAACCAGAAAGGAGCTCCAATGGGATGCTCCATTTTGTCAGAGAAGAGAGAGGGGAAAATGCCAGCTGCTAGCTGACAAGTTGGCCTTTTTTTTTTTTTTGTAGATTACTCTGTTAGATCCATTGTTGCCACTTGCTGAAAGAATACACGTTCTCCTCACCATCTCAGTGCTGGAAAGAAACCCTGCCTGGCTCACCTAAGCCTTACGGCACAACTGCTCCATTAGTGACTATGCCATCCAAAATACTATAGCTGATAGGTTCTTAAAACAAAGACTGTTATCACTTATTAGTCACTGTCAGGTCATTTCTCCCAATACTCCTAAGAAGCAATATCTCTCTCTACACCTGTGACCTTCCCCCAGTGATGGCTAAGAAAAGACTAGTTACTGTTTGGAAACTGAAGATTTTTTCTCAAAATTTTTTTCGAAATCTAGCTTGCCTAATGTCCCCCCCACCTCCATTTTTAAAGCTCCTATTATGGTCAGGGAAGTGACATACACACATTGCTGAGAAAACTGAATGGTAATATGCCTCTCCTCCTGAGCGTAAATAATCCAGAAAGTTACATCATGTGCTACAATTTCCAAAGGATTGATAATTGAAATATTCAACGTTACATGATAAAAGAAGATGGGAATGAAATCTTAGCTCTTTTCAAAATGTGGAGAGCAATTAAAAGCTATCAACATGTCCCTAAACATTGACATCTGGTCTGGTTCTTATAGTTTTAAACCGAGTTGCTTGGGCTGCTAAGAGGTTAAGTGACTTGCCCAAAGTCGCACAGACAGCATATAAATCCAGGTCTCTCCTGATTCCAAGGCCAGCTCTTATTTCACTATAGTATGCTGCCTCCTGTAGTACTTCTCCCACATGCCTGACTCCTCCTCCATTTCCTTTACTGGATCTGCATCCAGGTTATCTCCATCAACCATGAGTACTCCCCAAAACTCTGTTAAAAGCCCTATTCTATTTTCTCTGTATATGAGAGGTTCTTAACCTGAGGTCTGAGGACCAATGAAGAAGGATAGATTTCAGGGTGTCTATAGACTTGTTCATAGACAATTTCTATTGGACATATTTCAATCTTGACGTCCCGTAGACATCTCAAACCCAACATGTCCAAAACAGAAATATCTTTCTCCTCTAACCTTCCCTTCTTCTTAACTTCCATATTAATGTCGAGGGCATCACCCTTCCTCTAGTTACCCAGGATTGCAATTGCAGTGTCATCCTCAACTCCTCTCTCCTACTTATCCCCAATAGCCAATCTCTTGCTGAGTCATATCGTTTCTACCTTCAGGACATCTATTACATACATCTCCTTCTCTCCAGTCACACAGCTACTACTTCGGTTCAGGCTTTTCTCAGCTCATGCCTAACATCATTCAACAGCCTTCTGATTTGTCTTCCTGACTTACTTTTCTCCCCACTTCAATCCATGTTGCCAAATTTAACTGCCAAATAGATCTCATAAATCACAAGTCTGATCATGTCTATAAGAAACCCCAGTCATGTCCTGATACTCCCAGGATCAAATATAAAATGCTCTGTTTGACTTTTAAGGTCCATCACTACCTAACCCCATCCTACATTTCCAGTCTTCTCACTTCTCACTCCCTTCTATTCACTTAGCCAATAAGTCAATAAACATTTCTTAAGCACCTACAATGTTGCAGGCACTGTGCTAAGTGCTGAAGATACAAAAGGAGATAAAAGACAGTCCCTGCCTTCCCTGAAAGAGCTTACACACACACACACACACACACACACACACACACACACACACACACATGCACACACACAAATGCACACTTATACACACAATATAAAGAGGATAAATACAAAGGAATTATCAGAGGGAAGGCACTAGAATGAAGAGAAGTTTGGAAAACTTCGCTAGGACCTAAAGGAAGCAAAAAAAAAAAGCCAATAGGTGGAGGTGAGGAAGGAGAGCTTTCCAGCAGTGTAGGATAGCCCGAGAAAATGCCTGGAGCTAACATGTGGAGTGTCATTTTTGTGAACTAGCAGGAGCCCAGTGCACTGGATCAAAGAGTATGTATTAGAGAGTGATATGTCAGAAGACTGGAAAGGCAGGAGGGGGCTAAGTTATGATGTGCTTTGAATGCCAGAGTATTCTGCATTTGATCCTAGAGGCCACAGGAAGCCACTGAAGATTATTGAGGGGTGCGTGTGTGTGTGTGTGTGTGTGTGTGTGTGTGTGTGTGACTTGATCACACACTAGTGGCTGAGTGGAGGATGGATTGGAGTGGGGAGAGAGTTGAGGCAAGCATTACCCAAGAGGAACCCAGATGCAATTTTCCAGACATGAATTGTGGAGAGGTGGCCTTATAGCGGTGGCAGAATCAGAG